GGGACCCCTTGGGGATGCGTTCGGTCGTTCGGGCCAAACGCAGACCAAAAAAAAAAAAACACAAAACAAAAACAAAGCTGAGAAAAATCGGCAAAAGCAATATGTTATGCAAAACGATACAATAAACAACATTTGCCTGAGCATTACATCCAAATTCCTTACCAAATTTGAAAAAAAAAAAAAATACGGAAAAAAAATACTAAGAAAAAAAAAAAGAAAAAAAAAAGACAAATTAAAGAATTAAAATTAGTGAGTGTGCAAGCCCGTTTTTGACACCGCCATCTTTGGCTATTTTTCATTTTGTTTTCACATATCCAAATGCCCTGAAAATTTATATATGTGTACTTCAGATAATAAAAAACTTATGACAGAGGTTTGAAATGTTAATAAAATTGTTTAGACCCCGACATAAAGTGAAAACAAAAAGTGAAAAGTGAAAAAAAACAAAATTGTGAGTGGGGGAGCATGTTTTGACACCGCCATCTTTGGAGATTTTGCATTTTGTTTTGGGTAAGCAAAATGACTTCAAAATTTCAAGGCATGAACCATTGAACCTAACATCATAAAGAACTTACAAACAAAATTCAGAAAAAAAAAGTTATTTTTAGGTGCCAAAATAATTTTTGGCGGGGGCCGAACCCCTTCAGGTTCAGCCCCCAAATGGGACCCCGAACGCCCCAACGTACGGAGGTCCGCCTGGGGGCCTCCGTATGTATGGGCTGGTAACCTTGGCCATATATATATATATATATATATATATATATATATATATATATATATATATATATATATATATATATATATATTTATATGCAGGTTTGCGTTCGGGACAGGCCGGTTTGCGTTCCAAAAACAAAAAATGTCCTTCATAAAAATATACTAAATAACATTTGCGTGACGAAAATAAATACTATGGTAAAACTAAGGCAAAAATGCAAAAAAAACAACCAAAAAAACAATATACAATGAGTTAGTGTACCGGCACCTTCTCGACATTGCCATATTTGCCAATTTTTTTTTTCTTTATGGCATTCGAAAATTCCCTGACTATTTCAAAAAACAATAACAATTCTCATATAGATTACATCAAAGGCAACACACATGAAACCATTTAGTAAAAAAAACTAAAATAAATAAAAGGTTTATTTAGGGCCCGAAATAAATTCCGGCGGGGGCTGAACCTGGATGTTTTCGGGCCCCGAACGACACCCTGGATTTCTTGGAGTTCGTGTTTTTTTTTTTTTTTTTTTTTTTTTTTTCTTTTTTGGGTTTTGTTTTTTTCATGTTCTATTCTGGAACCATCCGTTTTCCTGTCGGTACCCTGCCAATGTGCCAACACATTTGAACATATCTTGTGTTTTTACTATTTTATGTTCAATTTTTTTATTTTTTTTATTCATTTTTATATATATATAAAAGAAGAGGACAACAAACCGAAGGTATATATATATATATATATATATATATATATATATATTTATATATATATTGGTTTTGTATTATTCATTTTTAGTGTTTGCAATTCGGTTGTATTTTTTTTTTATGGGATGTATATGTTTGTATGTATATATATACAGGGTAACCGGCGTTCGGGACGGGCCGAACGCCCGAACCCGAACGCCCGAACGTATGGGACCCCTTGGGGATGCGTTCGGCCGTTTGGGCCGAACGCGGACNCCCCGCCAAAAAACATTTTGGGGCCCAAAAATAAGTGTTTTTTTCTGACTGAACGTTCGGGGGCCTCCGTTTGTGCATTCTCTATGATGTAATCTACACTCCTATAAATTTTCAGCCATTCTGCTAAGCCAAGAAAACATTAAAAATCGTCAAAGATGGGGGTGTCAAAACGTGCTTGCCGACTCACTATTTCGTTTTTTTTCACTTTAAATCTTTTGTTTTCACTTTATTTCGGTGCCTAAAAATATTTATTATTTTTTAAAAAAACATTAATGAGTTATTGATTATGTAAACTATATATCTGTAAATTTTCAGGGCATTTGTCAATGCCAAAAAATAATTAAAAATTGACAAAGATGGCGGTGTCGAAAAGGCGCTGGCACACTCACTCATTTTAATTCTCTTTTTATTTTTTCTTATTTTTATCATAGTGTTTATTTTTTGTATTTGGTTTTTAATTCAAATTTGGTAAATAATTTGGATACAGTGCCCAGGCAAATGTTGTTTAGTTTATTTTTCTCCACAACATATGTTTTTTTCGGAAGTTTTTGAAAACCTTTTTTTTTTTTTTTTTTTTTGTCCGCTTTCGGCCCGAACGACAGAACACCTTCCGAACTGGTCCCGTACGTTCGGGCATTCGGGTTCAGGCATTCGTCTCGTCCCGAACGCCGGCAACCCGGCGTTCAGGATGAGCTGAACGCCCGAACGTACAGGACCTCTTCCGAAGGCGTTCGGTCGTTCGGGCCGAACCTGGACCCCAAAAAAAAAAAAAAAAAAAAAAAAGTTTTCAAAAACTTCCAAAAAAACACATGTTGTGGAGAAAAATAAACTAAACAACATTTTCCTGGGCACTGTATCCAAATTCTTTACCAAATTTGAATTAAGAACCAAATAGAGAAAATAAACACTATGGGAGGCACAACTACTGGCAGGTCTCGGTCTTTGTGTTAGCCAGACCCCCACTGGCGACCCCAACCCTATACCCTAACCATTAGGGGCAAGGGGCAACATGAAATCTCCCCTTCACAGAGAGAGGAAACTATGCTTGCAGGGGTCCCCTCTAGATAGTCTTAGGAATAGGTAGTGGAAGGTAAAAGAAACAGAAGTTGAGAGAAGAATATAGAAAAAAAAAAATAAAAAAAAAAATAAATAAATAAAATGAGTGAGTGTCCCTGCACCTTTTCGACGCCGACATCTTTGTCGATTTTTAATTATTTTTTCGCATTGACAAATGCCCTGAAAATTTACAGATATATAGTTTACATAATCAATAACTCATTAATTTTTTTTCAAAAAACAATAAAATTATTAACGCCCCGAAATAAAGTGAAAACAAAAAGTTAAAAGTGAAACAAGACAAAATAGTGAGTGGGCGAGCACGTTATGACACCCCCATCTTTGACGATTTTTAATGTTTTTTAAGCTAAGCAGAATGAGTTCAAAATTGATAGGCGTGTAGGCTACATCATAGAGAACTCACAAAAAAAACTTCAAGAAAAAAAAACTTATCTTTAGGCCCCGAAAATGTTTTTGGCAGGGTCCGAACCTGGAGGTGTTCGGCCCCCGAACGGGACCCCGAACACCCGAACGTTCAGTCAGGTAACCCTGTATATATATATATATATATATATAGCCTCCTGATGATTCGGTGAAACTCCAACGAAACAGTTTGTCACAGCCCCTCATTTGTTATCCTCTTCTCTCTCTCTACCTACAGTTTACCGGGCAGTTCTGTTTGTGACGATATATATATATATATATATATATCGGTAAGGTAACCCTATATATATATATATATATCGTGACAAACAGAACTGCCCGGTAAACCGTAGGCAGAGAGAAAGAAGAGGACAACAAACGAGGGGCTGTGACAAACTTATATATATATATACTGGGCTACCTGACCGAACGTTCGGGGGCCCCCGGGCTGGCCCCCGAACGTTCGGGCGTTCGGGGTCTCGTTCGGGGCCGAACACCTCCAGGTTCGGCCCCCGCCAAAAAATATTTCGGGGCTTAAAAAAAAGTTTTTTTTTCTGAATGTTTTTTTGTGAGTTCTCTTTGATGTAACCTACACGCCTATACATTTTGAAGCCATTCTTCTAAGCCAAAAAAACATTAAAAATCGTCAAAGATGGGGGTGTCAAAACGTGCTCGCCCACTCACTATTTTGTTTTGTTTCACTCTTAACTTTTTGTTTTAACTTTATTTCGGGGCGTAAAAAAAAAAATATTTTTTGAAAACTTTTTAATGAGTTATTGATTATGCAAACTACATATCTGTAAATTTTTAGGGCATTTGTCAATGCCAAAAAAAATTAAAAATCGGCAAAGATGGCAGTGTCGAAAAGCTGCTGGGACACTCACTCATTTTAATTCTCTTTTTATTTTTTCTTATTTTTTTCATGGTGTTTATTTTCTGTATTGGATTTTTAATTCAAATTTGGTAAAGAATTTGGATGTAGTGCCCGAGCAAATGTCGTTTAGTTTATGTTTCTACATAACATAGTTTGTTTTCGAAATTTTTTGAAAACTTCGTTTTTTTTTTGTTTTTTTTTTTTGGTCCGTATTCGGCCCGAACGACCGAACGCCTCCCGAAGGGGTCCCGTACATTCGGGCGTTGGGTTCGGGCGTTCGGCCCGTCCTGAACGCCGGTAACCCTGTATATATATATATATATATATATATATATATATATATATATATATATATATATATATCTACGTTGCCACTTGTACGCACCCTCGTACGAGTACGAACTCGTACTCTTGTACTCGTACGCTAGGGGCCCCGTACGAGTTTTTTTTTTTTTTTTTAATCCGGTATTGTTTTTATTTTTTTGCTCAAATTCAAATTAGAATCTGAACATGATGCTCAGCCAAATGTTGCTTGGTTTGTGTTGTTGCATCACATAGTTTTTTTTTTTTCGCTTTTTCGTACGGGGGCGTACAAGACGTACAGGTTCCCGTACAGGTTCCCGTACAGATCCCGTACAAAAAAAACCTGTACGTTTCGTACGGGAAGCCCCCGTACGTGTATTCTATGCAACGTATATATATATATATATATATATATATATATATATATATATATATATATATATATATATATATAGWCAAATAGAACTGCCCGGTAAACCGTAGGCAGAGAGGGAGAAGAGGACAACAAACGAGGGGCTGTGACAAACTGTTTCGTCGGAGTTTCACCGACTCATATATATATATATATAACATACACATATATATATATATAACATATACATATATATATATATATATAACATATACATATATATATATATAGGGTTGGCGGTGTTCATGGTTGGCC